TCCTGGTGAACAACAAAATCTCTAAGATACACGAGAAGGCCTTCAGTCCCCTGCGGAAGCTGCAGAAGCTCTACATCTCCAAGAACCACCTGGTGGAGATCCCTCCCAACCTTCCCAGCTCCCTGGTGGAGCTCCGCATCCATGACAACCGAATCCGCAAGGTGCCCAAGGGCGTGTTCAGCGGGCTGCGCAACATGAACTGCATTGGTGAGTGTGGCCCTGGCCCAGGACAGTCCCCGTCCCGGTGGCTGTCAGGAACGGTCAGGGACAGGGACTGGGACCTCTTCCAATCAGAATGGGTCTCACAGAATATTCTGGGGCCTTGTCTAGGGACATGCCCCAGAGCGGCCAAAGCAAGGTGAAGAGAAACCAGGGGACAGGGGACTGTAGAGAGAGGGAAGGGAAAAGGTCAATGCTACTAGACAGCCAACCGGAGCCTGCCATGGGCTCCCCCTTTTCTCCTGCTCCCCCTGCCTCCTGAGCCCGATGCAGGGCCAGTGCCCTGAGGGCTAGTGATCTTGAACAGCCAGGACTTTGCAATTTGCCCCATAAATCAGTGGCTGCTTTCAGGGGGAGATAGTGGAGCAGGCAATTGGCAGGGTTCATCAGGCCAATCCCAAGCCAGGAGGCCAGCAGGCCCCGGGGTGTATGGGCGACAGCTTGAGCTCCATCCACTGTGGCTCTGGGGCTGAGGGGGCCTCTCTCTTAGAGATGGGCGGGAACCCCCTGGAAAACAGCGGCTTTGAACCTGGAGCCTTCGATGGCCTGAAGCTCAACTACCTGCGCATCTCCGAGGCCAAGCTCACCGGCATCCCCAAAGGTAGGAAGACAGCCCTTTCTTCCCACGCTGGGCAGAGCTGGGGATCTAGAGCCTGTTTTGTGTGAACGAATATAAATTATAAGTAAACATCATTACATAAAAGGGTATGGTCTCTTTTTTCAATAGTTTTATTCATTTCAAATGGGCCGGATCCGGCGTGGGCCGTAGTTTGCCCACGGCTGGTCTAGACCCACCTGGTCTCCTTATAGGGAGCGCTTCAGCGGGCCTCCCCCACCTCACACACACATAGCAGCAGCCACACCCTCCTGCATTCATCTCATTCATTGTCCCGGCAGACCTTCCCGAGACCCTGAATGAACTCCACCTGGACCACAACCAAATCCAGGCTATTGAGCTGGAGGATCTGCTCCGCTACTCCAAGCTGTACAGGTGGGCTGGGGCCCAGGCGGGTGGCCCACCCCTCAGCCCTCTTCTCCTCTGGCTTCTCAGTACATCTCCTCCTTCCGTTTGCAGGCTGGGCCTGGGCCACAACCAGATCCGCATGATCGAGAACGGAAGCCTGAGCTTTCTGCCCACCCTGAGGGAGCTGCACTTGGACAATAACAAGCTGTCCAAGGTGCCTGCTGGCCTTCCGGATCTCAAGCTACTCCAGGTGAGAGCTGGGGGGAGAGGGGGGAGGGGGGAACCCAGTACCAAGTCCTCTAAGACTGGGGGAGGAAGCAGCCCATGTCCCCAGGCCAGTTCCTTGCCCGCCCCCCCTCGCCCCTCCTGATTCAGGCCCCAAGTAGAGAGTGGAACAGGGACTCGCTGTACAAGTGGCAGCTGCATGGTCTGGCCACTTAATCCTTCTCCCTCCGCCTCTGCCTCCTCATCTGGAAAGGAGCAATCACAAGTCTGTACTGAGGAGGAGGGGGAGGACGGCAGGGCAGCAAGGAGGGTGGGATGAGCTGGAGAGAGGTTGTGACAGATAAGCAGGAGGTGGCCTGGTAGATACTGGAGCTGAAGGTCTCCCAAGACGGCAGGGCCTGGGAGGTCGGGGAACAGGAAGGGCCTGGGGATGAACAAATACGTGCAAAGATAGGGATAGCCCAGGGCAGGAAGTGGGCTGATGGGGTGGTGGTACAGGGCCTTGCCTGGGGTTCCCTTCCCTGGCTTGGTTTCCAGTCACACGGGTGAGCTTGGCCTTGCCCAGTCCTGCTCGAGCCCCTCAGTCTCTTCCTCAGCCCCATTCCCATGGTTGTCCAACCAGAGCCCGGTGTGCTCGCAGCAGCCCATCTGCAGCAGCAGCTGTGCAGGGAGTGCTGGACTGAGCGCGCCCTCTAGCGGCCAGTTCCTCTCCGCTTCTAGGGGGGCGCTTGTTGCACACGAGCGCCACTTCTGGTCATTGGACGTCTTACCACCCACACTCCTGTATGCTCAGCCCGCCCCTAGGGAGGGGCTTCAGGGAGTTGGGGAAGGCTGATAGAGGGCAAGTGCCCCTGAGGACCGGGAGGAAAAGGAAATTACCCTGAAGGTTCTTTCTCCTGTCATGCCCCAGAGTCTCTGGAATGAGAGACTGAGAGGGGCAGGCCGGGAGGGAGTTCATTGAACTCAGAGGGAAGGCCAGGGACCCTCTGGAATCCCAACGTGCCATCTTTCTTTCATGGACACCCCCCCATCCCCTGCCCCCACCTCCATGTGCCCCTCACCTCCCACCCACCATGAACCCACATGAACCCCTCATCCCAGCCCCTGGTCACACACAGGGGCTGTCTAACCACCATACTCCAGCCTTGGTTTGCTCCTCCCGCTGGATGCAATGCAATGATGTGATGCCCAGGTGGCTGCCAGGCCAGATTCAGGAAAGGTGGTTGGGCGCTGGGGCCACTGGCACTGAACCTAGGCCACACCCCTCTGCCCCAGGTGGTCTACCTGCACAGCAACAACATCACCAAGGTGGGCGTCAACGACTTCTGCCCCATGGGCTTCGGGGTCAAGCGAGCCTACTACAACGGCATCAGCCTCTTCAACAACCCTGTGCCCTACTGGGAGGTGCAGCCAGCCACCTTCCGCTGTGTCACCGACCGCCTGGCCATCCAGTTTGGCAACTACAAGAAGTAGAGGCAGCAGCAACCTTGCGGTGGCCTGAGCTGGGTCTCTGGGGAGCACAATGAATGTCCTGAAGGGGGAGGCAGAGCGAGGGAGCCAAGCCAGTGCCCAGCTGCACCCAATCCAGCCCCACCCCGATCCCCAACCCCCCACTCGCTGCCTCCTGACACCTTCACCCTGGTTCCCAAGCATGCAGGCGGGGCATGAGGCCCAGACCCCATCACATGTCCCTTTGGCTTCAGAGCTGCCCCTCCCCCCATCATAGCCATTCAGAGGGGCTCCCACCAAATTTTCTTTCATTTCACCACAAAACCAAATTGTCTGAAGCTCCAATCCAGGGAAACTAGTCCCTGGGTCTGGGGGACGGAAGGGGATGAGCAGACCCCTCTGAGCCCACCGCACCTGCCTGGGGCACATTCCTCCTTCACATGAACTTGCAGCTTCCAGCCCTCATTGGCCTGGTCTGCCATCCTTGGCCTCAAATGGGCTCCCATCTTTATGCAAGTTCATGGCCCATCCATTGGAGCCTCCTTGCTCTACTGACTCTTAGTCTGCCCAGACCCTACCCAGGCAAGCCGGTGGGTGGGGTGCAACTACCCCCCCCCACACACACACCAGTCTGCCCTGCCCAGGTCTCTCCCCTAAGCCTGGGCCTGCAGGCGGCAGATGGAGGTGCTGGGCCCGCCCATGCTCTAGTCACGGGGGGAAGCACTGGGCTCAGCCAGACCCTGGAAGTCAGGCCCCCGGGAGGGGCCCAGCATTCCACTGGAGTCCCAAGCATGCTTTTCATTTCCCCCCACCCCCACCTCGCTCCCGGCCCTTGGTGTGGGGTTTCGAGCAATCACACCCAGCTTGAGGAAGGGCTGCTTCTGAGGTCGGATGCTGTCTTTCAATTAAAGAAACACTGTGCAATATGGCTCTGTGTGTCACTGTTCTCGGGGTGGCACTGGGGGCTGCCTCTGGCCAGCTGCTGGGCTCTGCCTCTCTGTGCCCCCTCCAAGCCTGGGGCTTTGTCTTGCTGCTTTCCCTGAAGGTCCTGGGCACCTCCAGGTGTGAGGCTGTACAACAGGCCCTGGCGACCAGGTGGGAGGCCACGGCCTGGCCCCTTCCCCTCCCTTCTAGGCACTTCCGCTGTCCCAGCTGTCCTTAGACTGGGCTCCTGGAGCAGCCCACCCCGGTGCCCTTTCAGAGTTCAGGCTGCAGGGCACCAGGCTAGACCCCTTCCAGGGGAGCCAGTAAGTCCTAGGGGTCCCCTGATTGCCCCTCTTTTTTTAAAAAAATAAATTTTTATTGATTTTAGAGAGAGGAAGGAAGAGGGAGAGAGAGATAGAAGGATCAATGATGGGAGAGAATCATTGATCGGTTGCCTCCTGCACACCCCACACTGGGGATCGAGCCCACCACCCAGACATGGGCCCTGACTGGGAATCGAACTGTGACCTGTTTCATAGGTCGACGCTCAACCACTGAGCCACACTGGCCTGGTGCCTGATTGTCCCTCTTGATGGGTTCCTGTGTCAGCACTAGGAGGCTCACTCCAGGGCAGGGCGGCACGCTGTGTATTGCATGTGCCCACCTGTGCTGGCCTGGCCCGGGTTCCCAGCACAACCTCCACCCCTTAAGGCACAGTGCGTGCCAGCTGAGCCACGCCCAGGCTGCAGTGTGCTGGCACCAGTCCCAAGAGAAGATCCAGAGTGCAGCCGGGAAATCCTGCCCACTGGACACGGGTGGGGGGACAGTCCCAGAGCAATGCCCTCTCGGCCTGCCCAGAGGGCTGAGGTGGCAGTGGGCTGGATCCTGGCTGCTCTGTCTTCGTGCTACATGAGGGGGCTCTGTCTCTAGTGGTGGAGCCCTGGGGCTTCCCCGGGCAGCCACAGGTCACTCACGAAAATAGAGCAGGCAGGGCCCACTGGGAGTGGCAGCCCAGGAGAGGAGCCCGGAGACTCAGCACCCCGCCTCCCACACACCGCCACCTGCCCTTCCACCTGGCCTGGCACCGGGACACCCGGTGTTCCCAGGTTTCTCCTTTTGGGGATGGGAGGCACTCCTCACAGTGGCGGCCCAGCGATAGAATGTCACCCGTCGGCATCATAGCACTATTCTGGGCCATGTGCTCCACAGCCCAGCAATCTCTGCTGAGCTGGGCAGGCTCAGGGCAAGGGCACTGGCCAGGGGCCAGGAGTCAGGGCCTCGGTCAAGTCCCCTCGCTGGCTGGGAGGAGGGGCAGTCGGACACCGGGGCCTGGTGGAGCCAGAAACCTTGAGCCCTCAGGCCCTTTCTCTGTGTGCTGGTCTTGGCGCCTGACCTGTTATGCGGGTCCAACACAGCCCCTCCCCCCTGTGGGTCTCTGTCTTTTCACCCTCCCTCTCTCCTTCCCTCCCTCCCTCTCCCCCAGCCTTCCTGCAATTCCTTTCCTCTCTGCCTCCCTCTCACTGGGGAAGCAGGTGCCACAACAAGCTAGTGAGACAAGAGTGATAAGGCTATTAGGTGCAGAGGAGACCCCTGTGGCTGGACCCCAGGGAAGGGGCCTGTAGGCTTGGTGGGTCACCCCTCCCCATAGGAAACAGTGCCCTGCAGGCAGGACCCGCATTGTGCCCAGACCAGAGCCTGTGAGGCACCCAGGAGAATGCTTGGGCCCCGTGGCAGTGTCCCAGGGAGATGGATGGGGCCCGCCCCAAAGGGCTTGTGGGTCCTGGTTAGAAGGAAGAGCTCCCCACCCACAGCAATTGGTCAAAGATGAATTACTTAGCCTCACTCTGATATCAAGTGTATTGCAAACTATCAGATGATGAATAATAATAGGAAGAACGAGGGGAATATGAATGCAAACGTTGAAACTGATTGGACTTAAAAAAAACCAAAACAACACCCATGGCAACATCGAGTTTACTACCCTGGCTGGCCAACAGCTGCCATGTAGATTCATGTACACTTCATACATCCTCCTAGCGGAGCTCAGGGCCTAGACCAGCCGTGGGCAAACTACGGCCCGCGGGCCGGATCCAGACCGTTTGAAATGAATAAAACTTTAAAAAAAAAAAGACCGTACCCTTTTATGTAATGATGTTTACTTTGAATTTATATTAGTTCACACAAACACTCCATCCATGCTTTTGTTCCGGCCCTCCGGTCCAGTTTAAGAACCCATTGTGGCCCTCGAGTCAAAGAATTTGCCCACCCCTGGCCTAGCTCCAGTCACAGGAAGCCCAGGGTGGCAAAGCTGTGGAGGGCTGGCATGGGCACGCTAAACTATAGGTGGATCGGTGGGCTGAGGGGGGCTCAGTTAGAAAGTGCGAGAAAGGTGGGGGAGGGCCCCGCTTCCAGCCCGATCTTGGGTTGAACAGGAACCCCTATATTTGGTGACTGATTGTTCATGGGGGGAGAGGAAGGGAGTGGGCAGCGTGAGAGTGTGGTGCTCCCATTGAGGCCCCAGAAGTGGTGGATGTGCAGGTGCAGCTCAGAGGAGGGGTGTGAGCCCCAGGGCACACTGGGGCTGGCGCATAGGGGCATGCACATGCGCACACACACACGCTGGGCAATGAAAGTCATGGGAACAGCTCGGTTGGGGGTGTGGGGACAATCCCGTGAAAGGAGAGGCCGCCAAGGAGTGGACTCTGAATGACACGGGGCTGGGCTGGGGGACATTTCCGAGTACTTATAACTGGTCAGGTGCCTTCTGGAGGTGGCAGGGCCCAGCTGGAGACTAAGCCAAATCCACTGCTTAGGTTTAGACGAGTCAGGGCTTGTCCGAGGGGCAGTCGGCCAGGTGTCCGCAGGCTACGGCCAGGGATGGGGGCAGGGCCCCTCAGAAGAACAACCCCTCTTTGAAAAACCTGAAGGGTCAGTGAGGGGCTGCTCTGAGCACTTGGGGGGCAGTGTTCATCCACCACTAGTCCCTCTGTGGTTTATTGGCCCCGCCCCCGTGGGCTCCAGGCTCCAGTCTCAAGCTCCACTCTGAACATGTGGGGCAGGGCACCATCTCCAGGGTGGCACAGAGCCATTGAAGGGCCCCAGTGCCCGCTGCACATGGGCTGCCAGGACAGGGCAGGAGTGCCCGGAGGCTGGAGCCGGTCTGGCAAGAGGGAGTTGTGCTCAGAGGACCATCTCCTTGTAGCCAGTCCCGAGCTGCTGGGAAACCAGAAGGGAGGTGTGCCTCGGGCTGAGCCAAGCCCAGGCTGGTGTGTTTCTTGAGGTGGCTGTAACAAAGGACCACTAGCTGGTGGCTTCGAACAGAGATGGATTCTCATGGTTCTGGAGGACACGAGTCCAAAGTTAAGGTGTTAGCAGGGCCATGCACCTGCTGAAGGCTCCAGCTTCCGGTGGCTGCGGGCATCCCTTGGCTTGTGGCTGCATCACTCCAGTCTTTGCCTCCATCTTCACATGACCTCCTGCTCTGCGTCTGTGTGTGTCAAATTTCCTCCTGGCCCCCATCCCCCTTTACGGACACCTGTCACTGCGTTCAGGTCCTGCCGAGATAATTCAGGGTGATCGCTCCATCTCACCATTCTGAAGTTAATCACATCTGCAAAGTCCTTATTTTCAAAGAAGGTCTCAGTCCCATTCCAGAGATGGGGACTTGCACATCTCACTGGGGGCATTGCTGCCTGCCATGGGGCTGCAGGTCAAGGCTGATGGTCCCCAAACTCTTGCGGGGCGAGTTGTCTGTGATCTCAGACAGAGAAAGAGTGGGCACACAGAGAAGAGAGGAGGCCAGACGTTTCCCCACTTCAATGGTGGGCTGAGGAATTGCTGTCCTCAAATAAGGCTGTGGCAGTCACACCAAAAATGGCAAGAGGGACACCAGGCAAGGGGGGAGGGGTGGCAGCTGCGGGCCCACAGAGAGGAGAAGCCTGGTGCTAGGTGGTGGCCTGAGGACCTGGGAAAGACAGCATTCAGGAAGTGGGGGAGGAGAATGAGGGCTAGAGGCAGGAGTGAGGGAGGGTGATGAGCTGGTAGGAAAAGGTAGAGTGGGCTCCTT